AATTTTCTTTGATAGTAATTGTGTTTCTTCATTAAAAATTCAGTAAAACAAAGGTTGTATTTTTTTTCATGCTCATATCGTTTGTTTTAGGCATCTTATTTCTTTCCTTGCAGTGTCTTTTTCATTATCTGTCTGAAAAGTGTACCTCCTTATGTTCAGTAGGAAGACTTTAATGACCCTTGACCAAACACAAAATCTGAAGGGTAGCGTATATAACTATGTGCCTGATATTTCCAACAGCTCATTTGTTTAAAACATACTTCCTTATGTTCAAATCATAGAGTTATGGTTGTGGTTTCCACAGGCTAGAAACCCAAAGGAACTTGTGTTTTCCCGGGGCTATAGCTGCTGGGCCATGTCTCCATCACTGGGTTTGATTCAGAAAAGAGCCTGGACTTTCTGCTTGTGACAGTCTTTCTTATACAAGAAGCTTCATTCAACTGCAGTAGTTCTTTGAACATGAGTGAAATGATTCTCTTTTCTCCCATGCTCTTGGGACTCTGTAATTATGATCACTGCTGAGCATAACTAAAGCTAAGCTTCTAGAGTGGCATTCTTCTGTAGCTCACACCACCATTTCTGTGAGGTTGTTTTCCTTCAGTATGGCTGTACTGGGAGGAAACTCTAGTTCCCAAACACTTCCAACCTCCTGGTACACTTTTTGGGCCCAGCTTGTATGCCCTGTTGATTTCTTGCTCTAGACTGGCTGTGGTTGGGACTTGATCTGCCTTCTTCAACCACAGTGTCAAGATCAGAGGGAGCCTGTCATTTCTATAGCCTTGAATTTAAAGGTGAGTATAGCAATAATGAGCTCTTTCATTCTCTAAGGCTTCTGGGGCAATGAAGGGGTTGTTCTCAATTAATCCTCAATAATATCGGAGGAGGACACGTGAATAGTTTATCTTTAAAAAAAAATCAAGATTTAATCTCAAAGGTCTTCCTACCACAAAGATGGGAAATTGGCACAGGAAAGAGTTCCAATTTTGTGACAATAATAGTTGCACTTAGATAAATTTTCTGAGAATAATGAATGTGTTAGAAGGATAAAACCCACAGGTATTCCTAATTCATTTTCTATGCAACACCTAGCCAGGTATTTAGGTATGAGATCTTGGTATTGTCATATGTATGGATGGATTCAGCAAAACTCAATCACATGGAAAGGTTAGGCATTTACTGCACAAGATACTCAGTGTTTGTAAAGTTCCGGAATTCATTATGTCTGATCCAGCATGGCAAGTAAATTGATAGAAAATTAATTGGAAGATAGTTCCCAACAAAATAGCTCAGCAGAAACATCCACAATCAATTAATCAAACTGCAACTCATTTTAATTGGACACACTCTAACCCTGGAAAGGCACTGCAATCTTTAATTAAGCTTTCAAGCACAATCCTATTTACATGAGACATGTTTCTCAGAAGAGTTCTGTCCAAACTAAAGTGAGTGACTGGAAACCCAATGGTATAGTTACAAATCCTCAAACATGCACGATACAACTATGTCTAATTAGATATTAAGTTTTCAATAAAGGTGGCATTAAAATAATTTTATTAGGTAAACATTAAACTCTTTGAAAGGATAGAATACATAATTTCTAGTTTTAAAGGTAGATGTGCATCACTATGACAATATTTAAGACTGTATTTCATATTTTACACACATATATTAATATATTTTCTGTTAGTTACTCTACTCTCTAACACTATTCTAGTATTCATTTCTATATATACATTGGCATCAGGTAGTAATCATGTACAGCTCTTTGAATATTTAGCAAACAATAGCTCTTTGAGAACATGATCGAATACATACACTTTTCATATTTCTAGTATGAGATACAAAACCTCACAAAGGGCTGCTCAATAAAGCTCAGAGAACTTAAATACATTTCAAACAAATGATGATTTAGACATGGAAGAAAATGGAATTGTTTTCTTCTTTGATCCAATTTTAAAGTGGGTAAAAGTGAGACTGCCTTGAGATAATGACCACATGTGATTCAACCTAAATGTATTAATTCTGTTATTTCCTCATTTATACCCATGAATGTCTATATGTCTCTAACTCTCCTCATGAAAAGGAAGCAAGAGATATGAATAGGATAAATGAAAATAGACTAAATGTAGTTGTTGATATTATAGTTCCTTAGTTATTATTTATGCTATTAGAAGAACTGGGCAAGCCCCTGAATTACAGGGATGTTTATGTTAGAACAAATGACACATAAAAACAAGATTTTCTATTATTGCATGCTATGAAATACACACCCTGTGGTTTTATGTAAGGTAACATGAGTTAAAATAAGGTCCTCCAAAAGGTTTTCATGACAAGAGTGATTTTGCATAGATAGTAGATTACCCTATCCTAGTAAGTAAACGCTAAAGTCTAGTAAGATTTCCAGAAAAACCATGGGCAAAGAGATTGAGTCTCAGGTACTAATGAGTTAAATTAGCAAATGGGTATCCTAGACAAGTGTGAAGTAAGTCAAAGTGACTGGAAGGAAAAGAGATGTCCTGACAATACAGGCAAGAAAGAGACTTTGAGAATGGCCAAAGATTGTTCAGATGTAGGAGGGAATACATACAAAGATTGTGTGTATTTTCAAATACTGGATGAAATCAACTCCTTCCTTGCCATTCCCAGAAAGAATGCCTAAGGGTTTGTCTAAGTTCTTATAATAGAATAAATAATAGTGAAGAGACTCTAGATTCAACAACTAAATATAGCATATAAGAGAGAGAGATTTATATCACAAAGTGGTTTTCTCCCTTTTCCTATTTTATATATAGTTCCTCTTCCTACAGTATGGTGCCATCTACATTCAGGAATAGTTTTCCTTCTTAGTTTCACCTTCCTGAAAACATCCTCCTTAACATATCCTGAGGTATTCTTCATGTCTCAACTCAATGGACTTGATAATATTATAATATTGAAAACTGAAGTTTGAAACGTTTGGGGCTCTACATCACACCCTACTCCCTCTGAATTTACAGATGATAAATGTGGCCCATACCATTTGAAGTACTTTGTATCCTTCACTAAAGAGTCATGCATGATGTAAAATGAAGTGTAAATGTATATATTTAAATTTTGGATAAATCAATTTGGATAGAGATTATTGCATCTATAAATATGAGTTCTAAGTAGTATGAATGCTCTAAAAGCTACAAATTCTTATCAATTCACTCTTCATGATCTTTCGTCCAAAAACTATTATACATTTGTTCAGAAAATGCTCATTGATTTTAGTCCTCTTTCTTTATCTCAGACTCCCAAACATCTTTATGGGGCAAAATCTGGCCCCCCTCAACTCTGGAGGCATTCCCATCTCCCATTCTGACATTATGTTATTGAATGAATAAATGGATGGGTGGATACAGTAGTTATTTGTTATTGCATAGTATGAGGTGTCAAGAATTTTTTTCTATGTGCTGTAAAGTGGTGACTAAAATGGCCCCTGTCTGATATGTATTTAGATTAAAGAACATATACAGAGTAAATTTGTACAATGTAAAACCCCATACATAATAAAGACAGTAGGGATTTTGTGGCTTTTAAAAAATCTGCACTAAATAATATTGAATCCCTGAGAATAGAGTCAATGGGTTAGTTAGATTTAGAGTTAGCTATGTAGTTAGCTCTAAGAAAGTCTAATTCTTCCAGAATTGTTAGTTAACTGAAGTACTTTGTCTAGGGGGTAGGGCCCCTTGAGATTTCCCCATCCCATGTTAGCATATCTATAGATAATGCCAGTATTCTGGTCTTCTTTGGACAGCCATTTTGAGGTATCACAGATAGATAGAGCTTCCCTGGGGTTTCTAAGAAACAGTCACAAAGAATTCCTCATTTTATGTCTCAAAATCTCTCCTCACTTTTCTGTGATATTACCTGACCCTAATGCATAAGACATTTTAGATTTGTTCATTTGGGCTGGCCTCCACACAATCTGGCCATCTCTGCATTATGACCTGTGGTTTTCTGTAATGTTGTCCATTTAGTGCAGAGAAGCTTTTTTGATGTGAGTTGAGAAGTACACTTCTTTTTTGGTATAAATATACATTTTACAATCCTAGGTCTAGTAAAGTGATGGTAATATGCTCTTTGATAAGATACATAACCTTATCAGCCCCAGGTTGTTGGCTAGAAAGCTATTGGTTACCAACAAGATGGGTACCATTGTTTCTTCACCAATATCTTCCAAGTTCTGTTAAGATTAACCCTAAGTGTAAAACATTGGATATTAGGTAAAATTTTAAGAAAATGTAAAATACACTAAAAAATACAAGAGGAGTAATAAAATAATACTCAATAGTCATCTTTGGTGGATAATAACTAAAAAGTCATCCCTAAGAATGTATTTCTAAGTAATCCTTAGGAATGCTTGACAAGTTAAAACTATTAAAGTAATTGAAGTTCAATTTTAAATATATTTATACTTACCATGGCTATATATATGTGTGTGTATGTATGCACATATGTGTGTACACACACATGTAATTTTTTAAAAAAGAAAATAAGAACCCACTGAAACAGAAAGCAAAAGTACACAACTATGACAATACACGTTGTTATTTGGATTCAAGATGAATCATGATCCTAATTTTGTTCTTTGAAATAAAGACACGAGGAAAGATGGCTTCTCCAGTGTAAAGCTTAATCAATTATTTTCAGAAAACACATGAGTAGGGTTAGGCATGGCTCAGTGACAAAGAACTTTTCTGGCATTCATGAGGAATTAAATTTGATCCCCAGAAGAAAAGAGAGAAAAAGAAGCAAAGTTTAAAGAGTAGAACTTATGATGTATCTTTCTGAGCACTAGTGTTTACCAACCAGTTTTGTTTCACAGCTTCCAATTGCTCCTCTCATCTTGCTGCTCAAGCCTCCAACATCAGATCACAGGTTTTCCTCTTCTTCACTGTCTCCTGGCTTTGTTTGGTCTTTAATTCATGAACAAAACGTGAAGGAACATGTTTGCATTTGCAGTATTTTCTTTGTAGGTGGGACCGCCACCAGGCAGAGGGGCTTCTTAGGATGCATCAGGTCTCTTCAGTTGAATGGGATGGCTCTGGATCTAGAAGAAAGGGCCACAGTGACCCCTGGGGTGCAGCCAGGTTGCAGAGGCCACTGTGGTAGCTATGGAAAGTTATGCCGCCACGGAGGGAAGTGCAGGGAGAAGCCCAGTGGTTTCTTCTGTGATTGCTCTTCCTCTGCCTATGCAGGACCATTCTGCTCCAATGGTAGGTGTGCTTTGAGACCGTATCCTTGTGAATAAGACACCTGATAGATTTTTTTTTTTGTGTGTGTGTGTGTGTGTGTGTGTGTGTGTGTGTGTGTGTGTGTGTGGCTATTTGGAACAAAAGTATTTACATATAAAATATTCTTTTGAAAAGTGGTTGTTGTATGCCCATCATATTTTAATCCTTGGGCCTTTGACTCAATTCTGGAAAAAAATGCTTATCTATTATTACAAATATCAGTCTTTTGGTATCTTCAATGTTAGCCATCAATCTACTTTTATTTTGCCTACTACTAATGTGATTAAAGAACACAGTGGTCAATAACCAGTCCTATGGAACAGTTCTTGGTTTTTAAAAACCGTTTCAGGATGTATTGTTATTTTGGGTGAGTATGTTCAGCAATGCAAAGAGGTTCAGATAATTTATGTATTTATATTTCTCATTCAAACAAATATTTTCTACCAAATACTGATATGTAAAGAAATTGTGACACTCTGATATTTTGTGTGTGGTATAATGAATACCTACTATAGAACTGAAACAGCAGAGTATTAATTTGGTAACTTCTCTTATTCACCAATCTGAGCCATGGAAGAGGAAAAGAGTAGAGTAAGTAGTAATTGTTTTGGATAGCCTTCTCTGAACATGCAGACACATATTATAGTCTCATAGTTTTTCATAGAAGAAAACCGACATCCAATTAATTTAAATTCATTGACTTTGTTGAAGTATCTCTGGGCTTCTTAATCTTCTCTTGAAGGAAGCTAAAAGAAATTGGCTCCAAATCAAAGCAACTTTGCAAAGAAAGCGCCGGGGGTTCGTTAATGAAAACCTAGCAAAAACTGCACTTTTTGGGTCATACCCTCTTATCAAGAATAAGCTGTGATTTCAGACTCAATTGTGGTAAAAATCACACACCACTGGTAACATTCTAGGAGACATTTTTGTTCTAAACTGTGGATTTAAGCCCTTCTTCTTGAGGATGTCCTTCCTTTAATTTTCAATTGAATTTTCCAGTTCTTTCTAAATGTAATCAGAGATGTTATGCTACATGCACACATTATACTGTGTGTGAAAGTTATAGTATAAATAACACAATTAATACATTAACTCTCCCTAAAGTGAGGTAGGAACCAAAACGTTACTTTATGACATAGTAAACATCATTTTTAAGGCCTATCAAAACCAGATGCTTATAGTGGCAAAGAGAACAGATTTCAAGAATTCAAATCTAGAATCTCCACTGACCTCTTCCATACACATATATTTGCCTACACCTGTGTGTAAATTTGAGATATTAATCTCCTAGAGGTAAAATGTTATGCTTATGAAGTTATTTCAAAAGGGCTGCACAATTCCTTTTGTTGATACCTGCTAAGCACATGCCCCTCTCACATTAATGCTAGACTTTGCTTTCTTTACATAGTATATAATAAATGTGAAAAATAATATAAAGGTATTTCTGCTTATTGATACTAAAGTTTTGGGAAAATCCTCACTCCTCCATTTTTCCTATTATAAGTGTATATTTGAATTCTAGCTATAAAAGCAGAGATAGATGTTAGAAGTTAAATAAGGAAGCAGGTGTTCTTGTAGGAACAAGAAGGGAAGTTGGCTTATGTGTGTGAACTTGGATAAGAGAGGACTAAGCTTCCAATTGTAAAGCCAGACTAATGAATTAATTATATGTCATTCTAACATGAAGACATTTCACAAGCCATTATGAAATCTCTACTCATTTGCTGTGTTATCTTAGCCTGGGACTGTTTCTTCTAGATGTGTAATTCATTCTACAGCATTGAGATATCAATTAATGTAACTTAAACAAGATCCTTGCATATAAAAATTTCAACATAAAATTTACATATCATTTCAGCGATTTCTGCATATTTTGGATCTGGGTCTTCTGTGATTTACAATTTTCAAGAAAATTATTCTTTAAGTAAAAATTCCAGTTTCCACGCAGCTTCATTCCATGGCGATATGAAGCTGAGCAGAGAAATGATCAAATTCAGTTTCCGAACAACAAGGGCGCCAAGCTTGCTACTGTATATGAGTTCCTTTTATAAAGAGTACCTCTCAGTTATCATTGCCAAAAATGGTGAGTGTGTTTTAGATGAGATACACTGGGGTATTGGATATGGCTCATTCTGGGGTACTTGCTTCTAAACTGGAATTGGGGAGAAAAATTGAGTATGTCTAAATTTTATCTTCTTTCTGATTTTGAGTATGATCCTACAGATTATTCTAAAAGGATCATTTAAGTACTCAAGATGGTTTTACATCTTTATAATTTTGGTCATTTTGTATCAGCTATGTGAATTTTTGGGTTGTTTCTATAAAACATTTTTATATGTTTTCATTATTTTAATTATTTGTGTGGGCATGTGTGTATGAGGGTGTCTATGCACACAAGTGCAGGTGCCTCTGGTGGTGACCAGAGTCATGCATTAAATTCCCTGGAGCTGGAGTGGAGTTATAGGAGATTGTAGGCCTGAATTGAACTCAGGTTCTCTGAAAGAGCAGTGTCTCCACTGCTTAACTGCTGAGCCATCTCTCCAGACACTTATATTTTATTTTTGCCAGGGTCTTCTAAGCATTTTGTATGAATATTGATACAGCTTTAGTGTTCTAATCTAAAATAAAATGTTTTCTTGTGTGAAACACATATTTTCTTCTAATCAAAGCTAAAATGTATTCAAGGAGTGTCACAGTATTATGCACAAAAATGTACAGGGGATGACCTGCTGGTCCTAACAGATGATAATGTAGTCATAAGAATGTTGATGCATTTGTGCAGCGTGATTTTATATGAGTTCTGAAATATGTTTGCTACAGAAACCTTGTCGTTAGAAAATGCTTACTACTGTTTTTCTCTGTCCTGTGTGTTGATGAAAGATGAATACTTTAGAAATAAATTCTCCAGGTGAGAAAAATAAACTGAAATACAAATATGCAACTGTGTTGGCTCACTTAAATCAGATGGCCCAAGGGCACTGATTACGACAATAGGAATAATTGTGTTTCATGTGTGCCGTCAGTGTCTGCCTCAAGCTTGAAGTTTATCTGTACATGAGGTGTTTTTTTTTTTTTTTCATTTTATTTTTTCTGTTAATTCAGGAGGAGTTCTGTGGACAGATTAATTGAAATCTCTGCAGGCAATTGGATACTATTAATTTGAATAATAAATTTGGCTAAAAGTCATTCATTTCACTTTAATTTCATTCCAAAGTTTATACTCTTGCTCCCTTGAAAATGCGTAAAACTAAATTTTCTCAAAGTTTCATCCCTCATTTGTCTTTCTTGGTGTGAGGTGGATATTTTAAGTAATATGAGATTCTATTAAAATAATGTTATTGCAATATTACACGATCCATGGCATTGCATAAATACTTGCATCTTCACTCACTTTTTTTTTGTGACAGACAGTAGTGTTATTATTTGCCCATTATAATTTCCATTTTGACTTTTAGGGATGAAGTTAAAGATTTTCAGCAGTCTGTTTATGAGCAGTATGTCTTCTCTTGAATTATATATAAAATCTTGTAATTTCACTTAGGAACTGACTTTTAGAACTTAGTTTTATTAGACAAACCCAAATGAGTGCTGGTGAATCTTTTTTCTTGTACTGAATATATTAAAAAATTAAAAGGATTTGGACATTTTGTAAGGTGTTTTAAAATTGAATTTTCACTATAAATTTAACTTTTTTCTGCCTTAGGAAGTTTGCAGATAAGGTACAAGCTAAATAAGTATCAAGAGCCTGATGTTTTCAGCTTTGACGTTAAGAGCATGGCAGATGGGCAGCTTCACCACATAAAGATTAATAGAGAAGAAGGAATGGTCTTTGTGGAGGTAATAGAGATGCTCCAGGGGTCACACTACACCCAGGCATGGGGCACCTACAGCAGAAGCATGGTCCCAAATCACATTAGTAAGGACATCTTCCAGTGGTCTTCTGTAGATAAAATCGGCCCATAGACAAAAATCATCAGAAGTGGTCAGGTGGTTTTTTTTCCCCTCTAGTTTTGTTTTTAACAAAACTATTGGATATATTATTAATATCTCTGATGCTCCAAGTGTCAAGCTCTGCTTGGTTTCATTTTTCTCTGAAAGGAAATGATGTCTACTTTCTCAGAGACCTGCTGGTAGGACCATCAGTTGTCTTAGGAAAGCCACTTACTTTAGATGGGTATAAATGCAGCAATCATTCCACAACAGCAAATAACGACTGAAATATCAGAATAAGTTGGAAGAAAGGATGTAATTCACAGCAAAATGGAATTACTCACCTTAGCAGCTTTTGCAGAAAACCCGTAATGTTTCAGTTCTACATAGAAGAAAATTTCTTAGCTGCATGACTCCAGTAAAAGTCCCAAGCTGAGAAAAAGTATTGAGGCAAAAAAAAAAAAAAAAAAAAAACATGTCTTTTTGTTGGCTTTACCAATTTTTTTTTGAGGTGGAGATAGGTAAAGTATTAAAGGGAAAAAATGGCAAAATGAATGAATATCTGGACATAGATTAAATATCATCAGATTTTGAGTGGCTAAGTTTTTAAATTTCACTTTCTGGAACTATTAAATATCCATAACAATGATTGCCTGTTTTTTTTTTCTTTCCTCCATCTCTTTTTGCCACAAAACAATGATTATTTATGTGGCTATATTTTGTGTAATAATTTTACAGATTGATGAGAATGCACGGAGACAAACCTACTTATCATCAGGCACAGAATTCAGTGCAGTCAAATCTCTGGTATTGGGCAGAATGCTGGGTAAGTAAAAGAAAGAATCTTTTCCTTAGTCATAATGCATAAACATGAATCAGAGCACACACCTCAACATGTCAAAAGGAATGTCTTGTCTTATTTCAGTAGTGAAGCAATCAATGATGGAAGTTACTTTGAGTAGTGGTTTCCTGTGAAGAAGCAAACATCCTCCTTGATAAGAAGGTCACACGGATCTTTGCCATGTGTCAATCATCATCATAATTGTGCTCATAGTCAACTTGACACAAGCTAAAGTCATCTGAGAGAAGGGAACCTCAATTAAGAAAAGGCCTCCATAAGGCCAGGCTATTGGCAAGTTTGTAGGACATTTTCTTAATTAGTGATTAAGTGGGGCAGGCCCAGCCCACCATAGGTGATGCCATGCTTAGGCTGGTGGTCTTGGGTTCTATAAAAGCTGGAGAAACCCATAGAAACAGCTGACCTGAACAAAGGGGAGTTCATGGACCTCAGTCTGATAGCTGGGAAACAAGCATAGGACAGACCCAGATTCCGTTAATGTGGTATTAGTTGGGAGGAATGGGCAGTCTATGGGGCCTCTGATAGTGGATCAGTATTGATCCCTAGTATAGGAATGGACTTTCAGAGCCCATTCCACATAGAGGGATACTCAGACACATGTGGGAGGGCCTGGGCTCTGCTCCAAATGATATGACAGACTTTGAAGGCTCCCCATGGAAGGCCTCACTCTCCCTGTGGAGCAAAAATGGGATAGGCTGGAGGTTGGTGGAGGGCAACAGGGGAGGACAGGAAAGTATAGGAACTAGGATTGATATGTAAAACCAGCTTGTCTCTAATTTAAATAAAAAAATAAGCAGAATCCCTCCATGTCCTCTGCATCAGTTCCTGTCACCACGTGCCAGCCTTGATTGAGTTCCTGTCCTGACTGTTTTTGATGAAGTGTTATTTAGAACTGTGAGTGAAATAAATAATTTCCTGCCCAAGATGCTTTTGATTATGGTATTTCACCACAGCAATAGTAACCATAACTAAGACAATAATGAAGCATATTTTTCCTATAGCAAAAACACCAAGGTAGAAATGGCAATATATCTATTAGCTGCTATTGTGTGAATGTCACGTGTCCCCATAGGCTAAATCCGCAGCTAGAAGTATTATAACAACTTTTAAAATGTGGAGCCTTGAAAAAAATGCATGCATCATTGGGGGTATTGTTGCAGCTTTATAGCTCAGTCCCACTTCCTGATAACTCTTTTTTCCATTCTGTCATGACATGACAAAGTTATGTGTCCTGGGTGAATGCATATCCCAGCCACCATAGAGATCCCTGCCACCACATCTTCCCTCCATGAAAGTTTGTATGCCTCAAATTATAAGTCAAGCCTTCCTTTCTTAATTTGCTCCTGGCCAAATATCTGACCATAACAATAAAGAAGTTAACGTGTATGTTTGAAAAATGTACAGATCTTTATCTAACTGTGAAACTAGAACAAGGTCCAGAGGAAATGAGAGGTGAAGGTGCTTTGTGCCATGTTTGACAAACTTAGGTGTCTTGAAATTCTTTTTCATTTCCATTATTACTTAGACATTAATGTAGACATTAAATGTAATGACATTAAAGTAGATAATTCTGTCTCTAATATAGCATCATAATATGCATGCACTTACTAACAAAGATTAAAAGGAAAACAGAGGAGTCAAAAGATATTTTATTATCAGTTATAAATAAATAACTGAGTGTCAATTACTTTATTTTATAGAGGGGATCTTCTTGTTGTCTGGTTTTCATTCATACCTGATATTTGATAGCAACATATAATATTTTGTCCACTGAAATATTTTTTGACCTTGTAAGTTGTTTGTGCCTAGATTAATCATTCCTTATGTTCCCTGTACATCATCTTAAAAATCCCGAGAATGTTTGATTAAACCCATGGGTGAATGATCAAAATATTGGCCCTGGAGAAGGTTAATAGCTAAGTTTATAAATATTTATAGGCTTTCATGTAGTGTGATGAGTACCAAAATTATGTCCTCCTCTTCTCCAAGCAGCAGAAATATCCTGAATCTCAATGACCATTTAAAAAAATATATGTATCCACAACTCAACTTAGTTATTTGGAAGTATAACCAAAAAATTCTGAGTCTCGCGTTTTCAATTATCTGTATTATATATAATTACGTTATATATCTATTTAAGATTGACATGTCATTTGCTCTAAGGGACATGCAAAGTCCAATACAGTGAATATAAGATGGTGATTCTACTTTATCTGGTAGCTTTTAAGAAGGACTCAGATTCTACACCAGGTGTGTAATTAATAGACAAAACAATATGTACTTTGAACCTATGCATGTGAATACTTACTAATTTTACACTAAATAAAAATTAAGTGCTGAGGCCAATGAGTAGTTGTGTGTGGTGGTATGCAATATGATGCTGACACTTGGGAAACTGAGGCAGGAAGATTGTAAGTTGGCAGCTAGTCTGGTATGCATAGAAAAAGGCTATTTCAAGAGAATACTGAACCAGAGTGACACAAATGGACATGTGAAGTTGAACATGGAACAGTCCACAAAGAACTGTAGGCAACTAATGATAGGTGGGAGTGGGAGAGGTGGTCTTCCCCAGGGAAGAGCACACTAATTGATTATCCAGTGGCAAGCAGTCATCTCTGAAAATATACATACGTAACATTGTTATATTTCATAATATATATATATATATATATATATATGCTTGCAGTAGCAATTAATGAAAAAGATCATGAATTTGAAGGAGAGCATGGAGGGGAATATGGGAAGGGAATAATGCTGTCATTATTTGTATAATATCAAAAAAATTCAAATTTAATAAAACGTTAACAGGAAGAGTACAGAGAACAAGAAATGTGAGAATTTCCTAAGATGTCCTCTTCAGGCTTTAATTACAATGTCTTTCAAAACATGTTGCTGTTAAGCTAGGACAGACTGGCCGTTAGTACGGAAGAAATTAACAGTCTCGCTGAACTAAGGAAATTACTGTTTGAAGTCAATATTGTCGGTTTTATTATTTGTCACTATCCTAGATTTAAAGACGTATTTAAATTCATCAAGCTATGAAGATACTGAAATATTTACTAACAATCTTTAAATATAGTGAGGAAAACCAATGTATATGTTAAAACTTTTCAACTTGAGAGTAAACAAGATATTGTGAACTCTGTTTCCAAGGTCAAAATACTGCCAGGTGTTCTTGTTCATACAACTTATGAAACTTGGGCATCGTGCAGGACCATTCCCACTAACCATTCCCTTCTACTTCTTTGGTCTTCCAAGATTCAATGTGAATTTTGAATTCTTTTTCAATAAACCCTTTCCAGTGGTGGTCGTGGCCGGGGAGCAAAATAAAAGAAAAACCAAATACTAGTTAGGCTTTCAGCTTAAAAACAAAATACATTTTTTCCCAACTTGATATTGAGAAATTTCTGTGCCTCCTTCAGGGAAATGTTTCTATTATTTCAAGCAAGTGCAGAGGTGAGTGTGTTGGCCACTGTGGATTGGTGATTTAGGGCTGGATGCATAAAGAAGGTGTTGTTCAGATCATTTCTTTTCATAACAACAGTGTTTTATGCCATTTATGACAATGACACCACATTGGAAGCCAAAGGGAATTTGGGAAAGAATGAAATCCAGTGATTTGCTGCAAAATATATAGAACTGGAGGTCATTGTGTTAACAGAAGTTACCCAGACATAGAAAGGCAGATGGTAGAGGTCAGCCCTTGCAATTTGAATGCAAAATAAAGATTACCAGAGGCTGGCAAGGGTGAAGAAAAAGGAAATCCTAAAATGTATCAAGATGGGAGTAAGTTCAGTGTTCCACAGCTCAGTAGGGTGTCTGCAGTTCACAATAACCTCTTATTTATTCCATGAAGAACCAGAAGAGAGGAGCTTACAGGTTCCAAGTGTAAGGAAAATGATAATAAAATGGAAATGCTAGACTATTGATTTGAACAAAACTACTGTATACATGTATTGAAATATCATACCAAACTCCATATGTATGTAAATGAGAAAGGTTAATTTTTAATAAAAATCATTTTAAAATTAAATTTTAGATAAAGTTGAAATAAAAAATACAACTTTATTATAAGGACAGCTTAACAACTATAAATAGCAACCACAACAAAATCACAACAACAATACAACCCAAGCTGATTTAAGTGTGGGGTTGATTTCTTCTCTATGACTCTGTGCCATGTGGCATGTGGATGACAGGGACAAAAGTCTTAGAAATATCCAGGGTGAGAATAGGGGGATTTAGCTGGGGGTGGAGCCCCACACTGAACTGAGAGCAGTTGGCTGAAAACCACTTGTTTAGTTATCCTTCATTAAGCCTAGGTACACACAGGTAACATTATTCATAGAACTAAAAGTGCACCCATGTTTCAGGCTGTATTATTTGTAGATCATATTCACATAATGAGGGAAAACATGAGCCAATATCACATTGTTGATATCAAAAACGTATATTAAGAAGGTTTTCTGTACATGATGTATCACAAGCAATAGTATAGAGTAGTAAAAAACAATTAAATGTATATCACAGCTCCCAAACTCAAGATCTCTTTTGTTGATCAGGTTATGAAATGAAGCACACACACACACACACACACACCCCTGTACATATATATATACATATATATATATATGTATATATACATATATATATATGTAAGGTACATGATGTGTGATCACATCTAAGTATTGAACAATATTGGCATCATATTTTATACTCAATTTAATTCCAGGGTTTCTGGCAAAATATTAGTCAAAGTAGAAATACTTTAAATATGCTATAAAAAATTAAAACAATGAGATACCACCTGTGAGGAGATTGTCTTAACAAAATTATAGAATGACATCTGTTTCCTTTTTCAGATGAATGTAGGATATTCATATAGAATTAATGATGTTAATGTTTTTATTAAAATTGTATATTATTCAAATGTGTATCATTCATGTTGAAAACTTATGATTAAAATC